ATATTTGTTTTTCTTTTTCTTTCTCTACTACCACTAAAAAATCTATAACGATGTTTTGATCCGTAGGTAAAAAGAAAAATGCAAAACTATAAGCCAAAACTAAAATTTGTCAAGTAACTTAGTTTATTCATGTGAAAAATTTTAAACTTCTTTCTTGACAAAAAAAATAAAAAAATAAAGTAATTAAATTCTTTATTCAGGAAATGGTCGCGAAGTTAAAAAAAAATACTATTTTAAGTTAAAAAAAAAATCTCGAATAGCATCCTGAAATTTGGAAGATAAAAAAAGTATTAATGAATGTATTTTTGCAAAGAAAAATCTTGATTTGATTTAACTCTAAAGCAACACGAGGGCTTTTGGCGATGGATTGCGTATATTTGAACCACGGTCAAGGGGTGAGGATGACACTTCCTTTCAAAACTATCACACCAACGGGAGGACTTTAACCCCCGATCAAGACGACATCTGAGATGACACCTCACTCTTCCAAATTGTACACCATGCCAAAGTGAGGACTTTGAACCACGGGAGATTTAAGGTGCATTAGCCCCACACACGGTGGGTCTTCAGGGGCACCAGGACTCGAACTCACGACTCGCAAATCCCGAGTTCATGACCACCTGGCTACCGCAACGACAGCAAAGCATGGAATATTAAATTGTTCCTTTACAAAATACAATTGGACTCCGATTTAACGAACCCTATTTAACGAATTTCAGACTAAACGAATTTTTCTTTTTCCCCGATTAAAATAAAGGCAAAAAAAAACCTGTATTTAACGAATAATAAACTCCGAAATAACGAATTATTTCAGCAACCAAAAAATTTTTTTTATTAGTTTGTATTAGAAAAACTTTTTACAATTGGCATACTCTTTATTCAGAATAGATAAAAAAATTCTTATAAACAGCAAATTTCCACGAGAAAGGTAAGTGAATATTAACGCCGCACTGTTCAGCTACACGAGGGCTTTTGGCGACGGACCTCGTCCTTTCGAACCATGATCAAGTGACGAGGATGAAACCTGAACTGGTACCTCCTCTCCTACCACACCCGGCTAATGGGAGGACGTTTGAGATTTCGACTGATTTAACACGGATATTACATTGAGGTTCTTTAGTGATACCGGGCTCGAACTCATGACACGCTACAGCCACGAGTCCATTACCTTGACCACTTAGTTACCGCGGCCTCAACGAGGAAACATTATTAGACAATACAAGTGCAGATGAGACATGAGTAGCCTATCGTGTGAGTTTTGAATAAGACAGAAAATTTCTTTCTTATCTCATCCGACTCCACAACGTAGGGGATATCTTAAGATTTTAACGATGGTGTTACATTTGATGACGGTACTGCCTATCTGTGCAACTCAAGTTGAAGAAATTTTTGATTTCTCCTAGCCAATGAATAACGATTCTGATGCTGAAATTGATAATGAAACTTCTATCAAAACTGTTACATTTTCTAATCCTTTACACAGTGAAAAATTACCTTATGTACCAAGATGATGACGAAGTATTTTCTTCTCAGCATTAAGTCAAAAAAGGATTCTTCCGAGTCAGGAATCAAAAAGATTGTCAATCATCTATTAGTCAGTATTTTAAAATTTGAAATTAACTGGAGGGTATAAAAATTCACTAACAGTATTTTCAACTGTTGAATAAAAAGTAAATATGGATATTTTTTTGTTTAGTTGCTTGTTAAAATTTTGTTAAAAGATAAGTCCAAAAAATTTGCATTTTATTTGAACCCCAATATAACGAATTAACCCGAATTAACGAACAAAATTTTCAATCCCGATGAATTCGTTAAATCGGGGTCCAATTATATATGGTGAAGATGACAATTTTGGTACACGCTCAAGTAATGAGGAGGACGCACACGCACCTTTTTCTCCCTAATTTCTTCACTTTATTTCGAAAAAGGCTAAAAAACTTCTTTCTCTTTTTCAACAACATACTCAGAAGCTGCAGGATTAATGTTGCCGATGGACATCGTAATCTCGAAACGTTGAAGTGACGAGGACAGCATCTGAGCTGGCTTAATACTGCAAAATACACAAAAAAGACGAGTAGAAAACTGGTTGTGGCAGCAGGCTGAAGGCTGGGGAATCAAGCTGTATGTATCAGTCCTGATTCCGTTGAAGTTCCATGGTGTAGCGTGAATGTTTATTATATATAGCATCCCACTCTGAAGGAATGTAGTGACCGCGGTAGCCTAGTGGTCAAGGTAACGGACTCATGGTCGGTGTGTCATGAGTTCGAGCCTAATACCACTGAAGACCCGTCATGTAGGGGAGCAATGTATGTTAAATCTGTCGAGGGCTCAAACGTCCTCCCGTTGGTGTGGTGTGGTAGTTAGGAGAGGGGGAAGGATCACTGAAGGATTGTGAGAAATATAGGTGGTGAACCTCTTAATTTTGAATCATGGTGAAGTAGTGAGGATGACACCTGAGCTGATACCTCCTTTCCTAACTTTCACATTATGCCAGCGGGAGGACTTTAAGCCTCGATAGATTCAAAGTACATCAGCCCCTCTGAATGGTGGGTCTTGAGCAGCACCAGGACTCGAACTCATGAACTGCCGGCAACGAGTTTGTGACCATGACCTCTAGCTCTGTCGAAGCTCAAAGACTTCACGTTGATGTGATATGGATGCAAAAAGTGGTTGGATACATCCGGTGTAACAATTCAAGTGCTGAACTTTTCATCTGAGCTTCAATCAAACAAAAAAATCTGAACAAAATCTTTAAAATAATAATAATAATAATATAAGGGTTCACATCTCTCCAATAAAAACAAACTAATAAAATGTATAAATAAACCATTATTTATTAATTTTATACAGTTTTCAGTATTTTAAAATTTAAAAAAAAAATCCTAAATGTGTGAAGCTCACAGGTGTGTTTAAGTTCTACTGATAAAAGAATATATATATATATATATATACTAGCTGGATGGCCCGGAGTTGCACGGGCTTCTTCAAATGTACAGCTTTATGCCTTGGAAGATTCCCCTTCCCTTTTAGTGTCAGCACTTCTGTGATTTTTATATTAATGTCATTAAAATACTCTTTTTTGAAGTTTCTTCCACACCTTTGTCCTGTCGTGCGGGTCTGTTTTCTTGTCACTTAGCTCGGCGTTGTAAGGGCTTTATCCGTGGGTACAATTTTATCCCCATGGAAATTTTCCCTTTCTTTCTGGACACTAGTATTTTTGTGTGTGTGTTACTGAGCGATGTGAGTGATTTCTATATTTATGTCATTTAAATTCCCTTTTTAGAAATTTCTTCCATTTCTTCTCTTTGTCAAACAGATTTCTTTTTCCTCTGTTCAGCCAAGAGTTGTATGGGTTTTTTCAAGTATAAAACCCCCTTTTTTCACCGAGGGATAAGAAATTTTTTTTCAAATTTCTATTTTCGATTAAAAATTTACAAAGCTAATCCAGTTTTGTTCTCAATAAAACAGACATTGCACGAATTTATTATTAAATAAATAATGTAGTAATAAATACTAAAACGCATTATAACTTAAATTTTTTTTAAAAAAAATTATTCATTTATATCAATTCTCGTTAAATAATAAATCAAAAAATGTCTACCGTTAGCTATGAAAGGACTGCTTTTATCTGGATGTTTGATTTTTCGATTAAATATATGTAACTGTAAAAAAATAACTATGGGGGGGAGGAGCCTAAAAATTTGCTTATATTCTTATATAAAAAATTTAAAAGGAAATAGTACTATTTAATAAAAACATGGCAGCATTTCCCTATATTTTAAGGTTTTTCAGTAAATTATTTCTCTAAAAGAAAACTATCACAGTTGCGATGTATTATTAAAAATTTTAAGACCGTGTATATATTAATTATTTTATACATGAAACAATGAATACTTTCTTAAAATTCAATTTAATAAATTAGATTTGGAAAATTACTGGAAAATTCATTATTTACAATCATTATAAAAGAAAAAACATTCAAAAAGAAAACATCTTTATCTGACAGAAAAGTCTTTTACCTCCTTACGTACTCTCCGTAAGTTGTTTTTCCACACACGCGTTATAAGCGCTCAAACTCGTGTGTTCTGAGGTAGTTTTCCCATAGTTAACTATTACTGGCATTTGGCGATTTTTTAATTTCTTTCGTTGCATTTTTTCCGTCTTGGGGAGCCGTAAAAATACACCGAAAAAATGTATTTTAACGGCTCCCCTAGACGGAAAAAAATACATCTTTAAAATATTTTATGTATAAAGAAAGCAGAATTTTTTTAAATTAAAAATTCCAAATTTTTTTTTGAAGTTTTACAATATTTTGTTTCAAATTAACTTGGCAGCGTCGGAAAAGGTTAAAAAAATGTGTGTGTACCAATGTACTTGAAAAATAATTTTATCTTTTTTTAGGAATTTAAATTAGAAAAATTTAAAGCATTGTAGAAATTGAGATTTTAAAAATATATTTCAAGTTAATCACGTTAAGAGCATTTATTTTTTAAGCAAAGTTAATTAATACAGTCAATAGAGCAACGTCATGAAATTCCATTTTGGCTGAAAACTGATTTCCGGCGCCAACTTTTATGATTGTTGTAACAATAACAGTGTTACAACAATGCAGACAAATCAAAGTTGGCGCCAAAAACTGGTTATTAAAACTGGCTTTAATTAATATCTTTTTAACTAATTGCTATATCGGACCGAATTGTGAATCAAAACCATTCTCGAATCCACTTGAATCTCCACAGAAAATGTCATCAAAATCGCTCCAGCCGCTTAGAAGGAGTTCAGTCACATACTCACGCACAGAAGATTTTTATATATAAAGATATATAGTACAATTTTCTTACGTAACATTTTTGGAGTATTAATATTTTTATTTTTCCAGGGTCGGGATTTTTAAAGCTACTATATATTTACTTCATATTTTCTTGTCATGCATATTCGATAAATTGAATCATTTTTTACTAACAGTAAGACTATTTTCCGCTTCCTGAAATCAAAGTAAATTTCTTGTATGTATGCAAATTTTAGAGTATAGTAACGAAAATTTTTTAATATTTAAACGCACATCCAGTATTAAAATTTGTGTGTGATGTATATTTCATTCTTGTTTATTGAATAAGAATTTTAGCATTAATAGGAATTTTATATTAATACACTCCCCGCACTTACATATATCCGTAATGGTAAAGCATAGTTACGCTTAAAATTGGATAAATAGTATATTTTAAATAGTTTGAAATTAATTCGATTTTTTCAAAATATGCTGTTCTTACAACAAATATCTTAAAATATTGTCTTTACACATTTCTTACTATCATATACTTAGAAGCATATTCATGGATCTAAAAATTATGGAGTGCTTCTTTTTGTATGTTTTGTTGTTTCAGTTTTGCATTTTAAAAAAATAAGTTCTTTCCATCAAATAATAAGTAACTTAGTCCTATGAACGCTACTAAAAGGTAAAAAATCCATTAGAATTTGGAAAAAAAAAATTATGTAATTTTGTTTAATATAAAATGTCCTCTAAATAAAACTTCAAATCTTTTGAATTATAAGACACGATGAAACTAAAAAGGTAGGACATGATTTTCCTTTCTCAAAGCACTTTATTTCTTATTCAATTTATTTTTGAAGTACACTTTAGAGAGAATATATTTATGAGAGTAATGCATAAAAAGCTGTACAGGGATTTTATTCTGAATAAAATTATCTTACTTTATTTTGAATGCACTTAGCATTTAAAATATTCCATTTTGAAATGCAAAGTTTATTGCGAAATATTCATATATAAAAGTTGCACGATCGCTTTTTTTTTTTTTTTTTTAAAGCCATAGGCAATGAAAAGGCTTTAAAATGGATTTAAAATGTTGTTCTTTTAAATTCTAAAATTTAGAGGAATATTTTTTCTTTCCATTGAAAAAATATTGCGTCAAAATAATAATTTAGTGAATAATTTAAGAAAACTGAGTTTGCAATAAATCAATGTTTCAAATTGTTATAAATATTTAAATTTGGAATAAAATATATTAAGTAGATATATTAAAGAGCCGGCTTGGGGGAGTAGTTGGTTAGGCACTGACCTTGAACGCCCAAGTTTGCGAGTTTGACTCCAACCCAAGATGTTGGCAGTGTTCATGTCGTATGATTATGCGACATGCAAAAGATCCCTAGAGTGCTATGGTGATCCTAAATTAAATTCCCTTTACAATTTCCCATCGTCAGAGCTCAGATACTTTCCTCTGGAGAGGAAACTGTGCGTCCAAATTACATTGTGGCAATTGGTTTCCTCCTATATGGTGCCACACTAAAAAATGATACCAGCTTCAGGGATTGTACTGGGACTGCAATGGTAACTTCCAATCTGCAGATCCATTTAAAAGGGGAGGGGGGAAGATTCATTAAAGACAATAGAATTTTTCACCTTATATTAATTGTTTAAAATTTTCATTGTACGTTAAATTTGTTTCCCAAATTTAAAAATGGGATTTTAGAATATATGCGTATGCTTGTGTACACAGGACTGAATTTTCTCCAGATAGCTCAAAATTTCTGAATGCTTCGAACTAGAATAAGGAATTAACGAAGCAGGCATGATCGAGTCCAAATAAATAAATAAAAGCGCTGTAGTTACTAGTAGTTGCAGAAATAGCACTGTTCAAAATACGTTACTGCTTTTTTCCTATTTATTCATTTAATAAAAAAAAATTTCATGTTGAAAAGTCTATTATTAGCAGAGAGAGAGAGAGTTTTCTTTTAATATTTCATATAAAAATTTTCGTATTGAATGCAGCAAAATACATAGAAAAAATATTTAGCATAATTAATATTTATATAATTAACTCCTTCCCGGCTTTTTTCGAGCTGAGTTCGAGCAGGTGAAACATACCATTCTGGCTCATACCGAGTGTAGCTCGGGCACTATGAAAATTCAAACTGTGCAATCGGTCTTTCCCGAACTATTTCACAAGTGCTTTTTATGGCTTCGAGTAATTGAAAAGTACCACTCGGTGGAATTTTCTGCAAAAAAAAAGGAAGTCCTTCTGCAGAACACTCCCCCTTCACGCTTGTCTGAAAGATACTTTGTTGACTACATTCTCCCGACAGAGAAGAAAACTAATCCAACACATCAGTGTATTATTTGCTGCTCAAAGAGAGACAGTAAAGGTAAAAAGGTAATAAGAAAAACAAGATTCTACTATTCCCAAATTGCAATGTTGGGTTGTGTGCAGTACCGTGTTTTCGAATTTATCATACATGATCAAATTTTGATTAATAATTTCA